GTGGGACTCGATCCCAGGACCCTGGGATCATGACCTGAGCCGAAGGCAGTCGCTTAACCAACTGAGCCACCCAGGCGCCCCTGCAGCTTTGTTATTTTTTTACTTGGATTTTTTTTACAACTTAAGTTAGCAAAAAGGCTTAATATGTTTTATAGATAGGTTTCTACATAACCTTCACATAGTGTACATCATGGTATAAGGAAGAAAATTAATCAATAACCAAGAAAATTAATTACCTACAAAATATTAGGTAAGAATATGAGTTAAATTTGCCCTGCAACACATCGGTCTATTTAGGGTCCTCTTCCTTCACCCAAACCACATTCTGCAATTCATACAGCAGGACTGATTTTCTTCCTTCTAAATTGTTATTTGGGGCGTGTGGGTGGCTCAATCGGTTAAGTGTTGCCTTTGGCTCAGGTCACAATCTCGAGGTCCTGGGATTGAGCCCTGGATCGAGCCCTGCATTGGGCCCCCTGCTCAGTGGGGAGCCTGCCTCTTCCTCCCCTCTGCCCCTCCCCATGCTCACGTGCCCTCTCTCTCTCATAAATAAATAAAAATCTTCCAAAAAAATTGGTATTTCTAAGGTAGTCTCTGATTACACCATTGCCTTCCTATCTTCCACCGACTTTATCTCTACTAGCTCTCATTCTCTTCTGACTGCTTTTCCATAGGTTGTCCGATTTTCATCTACTCTGTTACAGCTCCACAGAAGTGTTATTACCTCTACCAGGGAAGTAGCCTCTATTCACACAGACACTTTACTTACATGGTATAGAGGGGATATATACTGACTTCAGATCTAATTTTGAAAAAAATTATAATACTGGAAGGAAAACCAAGTGGTTTTTCTATGGATGACAATTATTTTCTTTTTCATTACTTTCAGTGGGTTTAAAATTCTCAATCACAAGCACTTATAATTTTTATAATAAGAAAAGGAAACGATATGTACTATTACAATAATAAAAAAGCTACATACATACGCCAGTATATGAATAAAGTTTTTTTCTGGAAGAATACTCAAATGAATAAGAGTATTGCCTTTTGGGGTGAGGCTGTCTATTTTTCTGTACTGTTTGACATTTTTTCTTTATGTTCAGGCATTAATTTTTAAAAAACACAGATTTTTAAAAACAATTCTTTTACTAGAAGTAGGACGTTATGTTACTCTGTATCATCAAAAGAAGTAGGATGTTATGATCAGTTCAACATTTTTTGGTTATTGCATCTTAAAAACTTTAATCTGAAACATTACCAATGCTGTTTCATGTGTTTGAGGATGCTTAAAATTCACCATTTCCAGAGAGAGATGTTTTTTAATTCGTGTTACATCAGCTTCCCGGGCAGCCTGCAGCAGTGAGTGGCCTTTAAACTCATCTAGATGAAGAGAAAAACATGTAAATCTGCATGAGAATTATCAAATTGATGGGACTTACTTAGTAAAAGATACTTAGTATTTTTCTTGAAATTATTTTCAAAATTATCTACCAAAATAGTCAGACAGGAGCTGTAAAGATATTCTCCAAATATAACCCCCCAAAACAGAGACAGTGCTATACCAGTTTCCCTCAGTTATGACATAATTCATCCCTAAATGTATACACAGATAAAATAGCCCATGGCCAACTCAGGGTCTATTTTGGTCTGCAGGAATCTGGAGTACTGCAATATATTACCAGACCTGAGAGTTCTAAGAATTTTCCAAAGCAGAGAACTTTTCTCAGTAAAGAAATAAAACAAAGAGTGATCATGGTTCGTACACTAACATCATGGCGGTAGCAGATGATTTTTTTGCTCAAACATCAGAGAACTGGTGACCAGAAAATTGAGTATTTCCAAGAGCCACCTACTGATGAACAAATCAAAGAGTATTTTCTCAAGATTCCTCTTTTATTCATCAGGTTTATGAAACCACCCATTATCCTTTACTGTTCCAGAATAATACAAATTTAATACAAGTTTCCTATTTATGTATAGCAATACTATATCTGAACTAGGTGGCTGTTTCTCACTATGTTTACTTCAGTTACAGACAGAAAACCACACAACTGCCAGATACCAAAGAATATTAGATGGTTAGGATCTGGGGACCATGTTTACAAGACAGTAATCCTACAAATGACATGGCAGATTAATAAGAAACTCACACCAAAGATAGGAACAAAACCCAAATTCATTCTTTTCAAAAGCATTACCATCTCATTTAACTTGACTTGAAAAAACAAATACAAATATATTTTCTTTTCATAGCATCTTAAGAGTAGAATGAGTAGAAATCTCCAGATGACTAAATACGCTAGTATGAACAATAGATACCCATGGTAAGGAAAATTTTCCATTATTTAAAAATTTCTAAAAACAAATGAGAAAGAACAAATTTTTAGTTTGTTGGCATCTTAATATCCTAGTTGAACATTCATCATATTATACTCACATGATAATCTTTCTTTTAACTGCGGTGTGGGAGCCAAGTCTATAGCACTTTTATTATGACAATTCAGCAGTGTTGGATCTGCACCATAACTTAGGAGAAGAGAACATACTTCAACCCTGTTCTTTGAAGCTGCCTCATGAAGAGGAGTGAATTGCCACAAGTCCATTGCATTTACACAGGCACCATGCTGAGGGATTGGGGGGGAGGGTAAAGCATATATTTAGTGTTCAATTTTTTAAGAGAATTTATAATTATTAGTACTGTGTAATTTAACATCATGCAAGCTTAAACAGGTTATACCCTCAAAATTCATTTTTTAAACCTATTATTTCAGAAATACATTTTTTCCCCACGGAAAACCAAGTAGCCGGTTGCTAGGCGTATGCACAAGGACCCTTACTTAACTCTTTTATTGTTAAAAACAGTTAAGAATGAAGCTTTAAATTTCACCACTGGGTATTTACCCCAAAGATACAAATGTAGGGATCCGAAGGGGTACGTGCATCCCGATGTTTATAGCAGCAATGTCCACAATAGCCAAACTATGGAAAGAGCCAAGATGTCCATCGACAGATGAATGGATAAAGAAGATGT